TAGTAAGCCCATCACATTGCTACCCGATGACCGTATTTTATTGGTTAGGCGTACAGTACCAAATCTATAGAGGAAATGGTTTGAATGAGTACAAAGGCAGTAATTCTGTTCATGTGAATTAGATCGAATACTAGAACTTTTATAAATCACCAACGTTGACTATGGTTTATTAGGAGCTTTTTCCTTCAATGAGTATGAATAAGCATTTGTATACTCAATCTCCATTTGTGACGAAAAGAATGATGCATAAGAAAAGTACTGTTTCACATTATTCAGTGCTTGATTTACATAAGTCACCAATACCACGTAACACTTGTATTTTATAAAGCATATAACAACACGATGACGTGAAGGTATCTTGGATATCCAGATAATTAATGGTGATTGAGTAGAACGATAAGAAATTACTATAGTGGCTATTATCATTTTTAACCAGGCTTATATCTTGAGACACACCGAAATATTGATTACAATTTCAACATGATATTATATTTGATTAACCTCTTGGTAAATTTTAAGATTTAACACGTCTCATAGACGAGAATAGAAACGAACATGGAGGCTTTATAAGGTACTAAATTGCATAATAATATTTACTATTCCACGCCAATGTAACCTAACTGATATTAGTAAGCAAGATGAACAACACATCTTGCTGCACTAGATATAAACTGGACCAAGTTGTTGCATCAGGACACCGAACGCAAACGGTTCACACGTTGGGACATCGAGCAAAAAAAATCGTAGATCACCGTTTCGTCCTAGAATGCGACTCCACAGAGGCGGGCATCCACGATCCAACAGGCGATACTCGAAGCAATAAGCCGGTATCCAGTGGTGTTGATGTCTAACCTCAAACGATGGTGATATTGCGCGACCATCTTTCAGTGGGTTTCTGCTTGACGCCCACCACGGACTGGCGCCAGTGATCTCACTATCGTACCAGAACCCTGGAATTTTCCTCTAAAATCTAGTTACTAGAGAGCCCTTCAAATTCTCTGGTACGATCGAGAGTTATGAGAGTCAGCCTAAAATGCTTTCACGGCCATGTGCATACACAACTGCTAGAGAAGTTCTACTTACTGCATTCACGAGGCAGCGTTTTTGTTTACGAAATTGTGAGAACGAAAAGCGGATGTTCAGCTCTTTAACCAGTGTAGTGGGAACGGAGGGTCCGCCTAGAGAAATTGGAAAACACTGAGTTCAAACTAATGGCGCATATTGGCTCCAGGATCCTGAGGGCACAAATAGTGTATGAACCTGATGTTGGTCACCGGGTACTATAATTGCCTTGATTAAAAGTCAGATAATTCACGTTAGCTTATGCAGGTCGGACAACAGATAGAGCTGGCTATGTTTTTGGAAAGCCTTAATGTCGACGTTTATTGTCTATCCGAGACCCGTATTCAGAAATCTGGTGAAGTACTACAAATGCGCTCCCCATTTGTCACTCTAAAAGGCTTGTTTGACGTGTGTTAACCCGAGCACACTGTGGCATCTTCGCCTGGTCTTGCTGAAGTTGGTGTCGAACTAGAAGTGAGGTAGCACTGATCGATTGGAACCCCATTATCAGTTGGTTATGTGCCGTTCGATTAGAGAATTCCATCAAAGTGAGAAGAAAACGGCGTGAGAAACGATGTCTTTTCGCCATCTACGATTACGACCCGATACGTTGCAGCCCGGATGCAGTCAAGGATAAATCCTATCACCAGTTAAGTGTTCTTTTACAGGAAGTGAGTTCCACATAAACCATAGTACTAGCCGGAAACTTAAATCCACAGATCACGCGTCTAGGCAAAAAAGAGAGTCGTTTAGATGGCCAATCAACCCTTGTTGACCGCAGGTCAGATAACGGTGATATTTCACTGGCCAACAAATTCATCGCGCCAAACAGATCGATGTCAGAAAATTGGTTTCAGCTTCTGTTGCAACTAGATATCAGACCGAGCTATGTTTAAGGCTAGATATCAGCCCACCGGGAAGTTTGAATGACCATTGACTGCAATCTCATGATGCCATGAAAATGGTGAAAAGTCACTTGTAGGCTCGCGAAACGTCCCACACATAAGCACTAGTTTTCTGCAGGCTTCTTACAGTTCATTGGAGCACTTCATTTTACTCCGGGTAACCGCAAGTGTGACAATAAATGTAGATTTTTAATTAAGAAAATTTTCCAACGTTTGCGTAAGGAGCGACAAGCCTGGTGGTCGGAGCGTGCTAATGAGTTGAGAGCGGCAGTTGCATCTGGTAACTGCATGAAGCTCTTTCAACTTATTCGAGTCACTGACAGCAAGAATTCTGCTGTGAGTGAAACAATCTGTTAAGCTGACGGGATGACAATCACTAACATTTATCGATGTCTTGAACGATGATCAGAGTTTTCCAAAAACCAGTTCAACTGACCCGTTGCCCCAGCAGCATCAGTCAAGCAATCCTACCCTCTATGGCCTGTGACGACTCGAATACTCAGCGAGGCTGAAGTACGCAAGGAACTCCAACATCTGAAGCCCCGCAAGTCGCCTGGCTCAGACGACTTACCTCCGGCACTTTCTAAAAATGGTGTCGATCTTCTGCTTAGAGAACTGCCTGAGTTGTTTACAATGGTTTGAGTGTTCCAACATCGTGGACTGAGTCGAAAACCACCCTGATCAAACCAAAGATCCACTCGACAGTAGTAGGCCGGTTGGTCATATTCTGCCCCCGCCAAACGTTAGAACACCGCCATACTTATCAAAGGCCAACAATCGTAATGTTTCTTGACATCAGGGCTGCCTTCGATTCGTTGGATGGGACTGTCCTCTGGGATTGTCTATTGAAGAAGAATATTAAAGATTCCCATTGTGAAAATTAGAACAGCACATATAAGCGAACAATTGTTTTCAATTAGATCGTCATCAGGCTTTACTCTAATATACATGAATATTTATACGAAAATTTTAAACCAATCAAGGCAATATGAGTCAATAATCACAATGAAATAGAATAAGTCACTACACATAATAGGTAAAAGTACAAGTTGATAGTACGAAGACAGGTGAACAGATAGTGGTAAGAATAATAAACTACAATAACAAAGCTCTTATCAATAGTTAGTCGTTGGAAATAGAAGGTCAAATAAACATGGGTAAATAGACTAGGAATAGTAATCACAAAACATTAAAAATCATTACGTAATAAGATGTGTGTAAATAATTAGATAGTGAAGAATGCAAAGAGGCGGATAATGACAAACAAATAATGGATGTGGAAATAAGGTTAACAATAACACAGAATAAAATAAATAATGATAATAATAAAATTTAAAATAAAATTTTTTTTTTGTTAGTTAAGTTATAACTGACTATGGAAGGGATAGGGGAGTCACGTATTTCTTCTGTACACATAGATTGGGGTTATATGTACGAATTCCAATAGCTTCAGCTATATATAGGAGACGGGAACGGACTCCGGAAATGATGGAGGTATACGATAGATAACTCGAAGTGATCTCAATTTATCTACTGCATGACCGCTATCAATAAGATGTGCTAGTACAGAACTGCGAATAGTTTTTCTCTGACCCTTTATGTACCAAGTTGGTAGATGTTCACTCATTCGTTGGTTAAGTTGCCTGGTAGTACGCCCTATACAGCTATCTCCACAGGAGCAGCTGAATTTGTAAATGCACACGGAAGAGGCCAACTCAGATAAAGAAGAGTGTGTCCGAGAAGGTTATTACCATCCTAAAGGCCTTATATACGAACACTTCAGGAAGAGTGAGGGCATACAACCACCTCCATTGTTCCATTCCAGCAGTGGAGTTAGACAGGGTTACCCAATCTCACCATTTCTCTTCAACCTTGCCATCGATGACATTCTGGAGACAGCTCTGATGGATGTAAGTAATGGCGGTGCGAACCTGTTGCCTGCAGGAGGAATTCTCGACCCTGAGTATGCGGATGATATTGCCCTACTGTGCGAAGATACTCAGGCCATGCAAACCGGCTTCTCCGAGTTGAGGATGTTAGACACCTCTGTGTGTGATCATTGCTGTCTTCGAAGGATTACTGACTTTCAGTGGCAACGCCATGTTAGTAATGCAGAGGTTTGGCATTGTGTGCTGAATAGAAAGACGTTGATTCAACTGGTGTCACCATCTTGAAACATCGAGTTTGGTGAGTTGGACATGTACTACGAAAGTCGTCCAGAGAATTCAACATCCTGCATCATTCACTGACGCTGGAACTGGTTGGAAAAGGCGGTCAGTGCGTGTCATGATATGCATAGGACTGGCTCCCGTTGATCCTTCACGATCCCCTGGTTGGAGTCCTAGAGATGATGTAACAGAATGGCTAGAGACGTTACCAGATATTTCTCAGAATAGAAGCCAGTGGCGGTCCCGATGTAACTTTATTTTAATTTCTCCATAAAAAAGGACGTGACTCCTAAATGAAGGAATTCTCTCTGGCTGTACTATTGCTAATTGAACGGTCCCATTATTATTATTTCACTAGCATACACTAATTTCTATTCGTTACTGTCCCCTTTTTTCTTATACACACCCTACATTCTCATTACTATTGTATGGCGCATATGTATCTCGTGCCCCTTTGTGCCAATATTTATGCGTTCAAATAAAATAAGTAATGTTATAACAGCGGGCTTGCCGTAGCGGCCATTAATATTTGACTATGAGTAATAGAACATATGATTCCTTTATGCACGAAAATGTTTTAAGTCTGATTGTGAAGTACGAATGACAAATGTATTGGAGAACATAAGTTACTTCCTTTGTAAGACTGACTGCAACTGACCTAAATTATTAATAACCGTTTGAAGATTAAGCTAATCACACCCTCCTCTTATTTCAAAGTGAACTGATATACTCATTTATATGGTCAATTTAGGATCATAGTGTCCATTACGTTACGTTGCTAAATTTGTATAAAAACAGGGTAGAGTATTAAAAGCAGATGTTACTTTAAAAAACAAGTCAAATTTTCTAATAATAGCAAAACTGAGGATTACAAATTCTCTTTTGAAATACAATAGTGTCCAACATAATATAAAAACCAACACGTTATTTTCAACCGATACTAAAGACAATATACCAACACGACTGTGAAGTGACGCCAATTTGAGCAATTTATACTCCGTTTGACAATGCAGTGGTTTAAGATAACTGACAATAAACCTTAATGGCTATAGTTTAGAACTTTATGTTGCATTTCAACTTCTAACGGCTGCATGGTTCTTGGTGCGTTACTGATTATCACTAACTACAATTTTATTAGGTACTAACGCAAATATGAACAATTCAACTGACACTTTGTAATCCCAAAAAAATATACTTACTAGGCATTTATTATGGATGAGAGAAGACGTGAAAATGGGCAGCTTGAAAGATACTTTCCGATAAACTGCTTTATATATTTTCAAAGGTAGTTGTAAGAAAACTGACTACGACATTTTGATTTTGACCTAATTGCAAGCTCCTATTTGAACAATTAGCTAATGACATATCTTTTTCTGTTTTTAGGGCACACTGGATTAAGCACCAACTTATTACACAATTTCGAACCAAAGATGTCTTAGTTTTACATATGTTATGATTTATTATTTATGTTGAGGTATGGTCTCGTATTCTGTGCATATAATTACATGAATTTCAAAGTATAAATCATACAAATATAATCGTTTCATTTAACTAGGGTTCTAATTGCTAGTTGGGGAAACAAATTAAAATATCGCGTAGGCAACCACTCATTTTGACAAAAAAGTATAATCTCACCCGAATATTTAATGTTTTAGAGACAAAAACTGAGATTTTATTGCTTTTATTCTCAAAATTTAGACCTCTAGTTCATCTTATTAGGTGCCAATTAGGTGTAAATAAAGGAATGAATCGATGAAAAAGTGCTACAATGACGACCAACATATGTTATTCACCAGGATATCTTATCCGACCAGTTAAAATAACTAAGCAGGAGTTTCATTAAGTTTCTAGTACAAATTCAACTCATTTAAGATGGCCAATTAGTACAATTTAGTTTGATAAATAACTTACCAAGTATCAAAAGTTAGTTGGAATATAGATTGAATAAAAAACTAACAATATTAAATGTTTTAAGCGCAACATATATCATTATTAATATTTATCAATAGTGTATTAGAAGATAAGCAAAATGCGTTATAATGACGCTGTACAAAAAATAATAATATATAGTTATCATGAGGACATTTAGAATCCAAAAAAATATTTAATAGCCCAATCATCCAGGATTACCAATTCTTGTATTTAAATCATCTTCATAAAACTGTCAACGTGAAAAAAAACAAATTCTGAATGTTTAATGTCACATGATTATTTATGAACGAATCAGCATGGATTGAAATATTTTATTACACCTATTCGCGTTTTGTGATGTGATGATATAACTTAGGATGTACTTGCTTACAGATCATATGGTTCGTATTAAGTTTAGTGATCTTAAAAGTAATCAAAAGGAATCTTTGGAGTAGTTGGAACTTTTCAATCAGGAGTAACTTTAACTATGACGCAACTGATGATTCCGATGTGTCACTCAATAACAATACTTGAGACAAAACAACTGAACTATTAGGACCAAAAACGATTGTTTGCAAGTCTAAGATTTCTCTACTGATCATTTTGTCAGTAGTAACCAGTATCAGCTGCCTACAGCGAAGAGGCGTAAGAAGCCTTGATTAGCTAGCTGAAACCCAAATGGACTATAACTACTACGATTTTCTCACAAAAAGTCCTATCTAAGGAAATATTGTAATAAAGCATACAGATTATTCTGTAAGTAACTATTAGTGCCCAGATAGTGAAGAATGTGCCATGGTTAATGAAAGAATATATCATAACCGTAAAACAGGTCGAATATTAGACTTACTAGTGAGAATTTAAAATTAAGGTGATATGCTAAACTAGTAATAATTGGCCAAGCAGTGTCATTCATCGCTAGTGAAGTGGAAGTTAAGGACTGTTAGCTTAGTGGACGATATTATCAAGGTGATACTTTAATCATAAAAATCATGATGGCCTTAAGTGACGATCTACGAAAAATGATAAGAGAATTAAGATAGTGTGATTTTCAGAACATCAAATCAAGGGACTACGCTTCTTATTATTGTACTGAAATTTTAACACAAACTGCAGAAAATAATACATGATTTCCAAGATATACTTTGTTTGTATTTCAATTTAATTTATTTTAGCACTTAAAGTATGAATTATTCTGCACAAGCACTCAAACTGTGAAGACGAATATCAATCAAAACGATCAACAGTTACCTATCATATATAAAGAAGCGATAAATTTTTATCTTTCTGCTTTGTTTCTTCATAACCCACGAAGCTCATTACGTTGTCAATTACCATCTTACGGATAAATCGAAGACCGCAAAAATTTAGAGACCGGATCCCACGAGTTTATTTACATTCAATTACGAAATTAATATTACTAATAAAATACCAAAACTTCCTGAAACAGTTTGTAACGAAGTGCAAAAGTTTAAAATGTCAATTAACTTTAATTACTAACTACAAAAAGAACAATAACGGTCTTGTAAGCGCTCGGTGAATAATGAGGAGGGTCTATGCTTCTCGAAACCAACTCAGATGCTTACACCTTTAGAATAATGTCTACAGAAGCCCTATTTACCGAATTTTGCGGCAAGTTAATCAGTCATACGCAACGTCCCAACCGTTGTTGATAACTTGACGTGGTGGTCAGGCTTACCCGACGCGATGAACCAGTTGAGCTATACTGTCTGGAACAATCGTTCCTCAGGTCCTACCATGCCAGACATGTCGGTTGAAGAGCGATGAGACTGAAAGCAGCAAACCCAAGGTCCGAGGGCGAAGTCGTACTGCTAACCGTACAGACGTGTGACGGCAGTAGGGTGTTTCTTTCAGACAACCGGCATAACAGCGATGTTGCCATCCCACTATGGAAAAGTGAGGTTAGAAAGGGTCGACCCTAAAAATGCACACATCGCCTTATCCCACGGATATCCGTCTCCGGCGATAAGGTCTCAATAAGTACGGAGCTAACACAGAAATTACCCACAAAGAGTTCGCGTGACACCGGTTCAGACAGTTGTCCCTTGAGTACTGCAGTCACGCTCTCGGGTCACTAAGACCAACTCTAACTGTTGAAGTGATCCAGAAAGTTTCTTGCAAAAGACAAACAAGGATCAGGAAACACTAAGAAGCGTTTTATCTAATTAGCGTTCACTTGAAGTTTTAGCCAAAAATATCAAGGAAGTGAAACGTCACATGTAGAGGTTCTGATTGGCTGATTGCTATAGTAGCATTCCAGAATCTTCGAGCGACCCAAGATCATTTAAAAATATTATCTGTGTTAAAATGAACCGTGGAGTAAACTACTTCTCGCATACTTTCCGTCTTCTCTCTCGTTGTTCAGGTCATTGTATAGTCCTAGCTTGGGGGTTACAGAATAGCTTAGGAAACGAATATAGCGTTCAAACTGCAAGACTTGTCACTAACCCAATTTCCTTTTCAGGTACAGGTGGCAACTGGGAAGTGATAACCGCCCTCATACCTTTAACAGCACTTATGGTCACTGTATTCATAATCAATCTCCCTCTTCAATTCATGTCATTCGTCCTAACTCGACTATCAACTCTAATTTTCCTCCTCAAGTGTCACCGTGACAGATGATTTTAGTGAGCGAAATATTGTCACACGTCTACTGAGACTTTGCTCCACACTACACATTGGAGCCTTCGACGTACGCATCCTATGCTAAATAGGCCAGCAGGCCTCCTTCGCTTAGACCCTAGAATCTCGTTCGATTGATGTATGCTGCGTCTCCAAAACACATAAACAGGATCCTAGTGTAGTCATTCACTTGACCCTCACGAGGAAGGGTAGCTGGTACAGATGGATTGGCTCCAGAGGTCTTTAAGTATGGTGGTCCAGTTTTAGCGATTAGGTGGACTAATATTTTAGCTAAGATCTGGGAGTTAGACGTTATCCCATCTGACTGGTCACAATCACTTATCGTCCCAATATATAAGAGAGGGTTAAAATCATCCTGTGACAACCATAGAGAGATTAGTTTAACAGATATAGTATCTAAAATACTAGCCTCGATAACTATCAGACGTCTAACTAAGACTCGTGAACTGCAAACACGAGAAAATCAGGCTGGCTTTAGACCTGGCCGTAGATGCATCGACCACATATTCACCATTCGTCCGGTTCTAGAACACAGGCATGCTTGTCGGCGTCCAACAATGGTGGTCTTTCTTGACTTAAAAGCATCAGTTGACTCCGTAGACCACGAGGTTCTGTGACAGTGTCTGTCACTGAAAGGCGTACCTCATAAGTACATAAACCTTGTGAAGGCTCTTTACTCGAACTCTACCAGTCGGGTCAGAGCTTATGGTGAACTGTCATCTGGTTTTGCAACCTCAAATGGTGTCCATCAAGGCTGTCCACTTTCTCCATTTCCGTTTAACTTCATCATAGAACTACTGCTAGAAATTATGTTTTCGTCGACTGATCTACCAGGAGGTTCACTTATTGACTTAGAATACGCTGATGACATAATCCTGTTTGGTGAAGACGCTGATAAAATGCAGAGCCCTTTGGTAGCACTGAGCAACAATGCCAGGATGTTTGGGACGGGTTGTTGCTTCAGGACTGGTTTGTGTCAACACCTGAACTAAGGATAGCGAGTGAAGTATTCGAACGCGTTGACAACTTCACTTATCTTGGAAGCTTGATCAGCCATAATTGGCTATTGTCTGACGAAATCTCAGCACGGACTCAAGAAGCTCGTTTGCTTTTTGCCAACTTACGTCGCCTACGGCAAAGACGAGATAACCGTCTATCAATTAAGGAACGAGTATATTGCTCAGCAGTTCGTTCTGTTTTACTTTACGACTGCGAAACGTGGCCACTAAGAGTAGATATTCGTAAGCTACTCATATTTGACCACAGATGTATTAGAAATATTGCTCGCATCTGCTGGATCACCAGGTTAGTAATAGTGAGGTTAGACGTGAGGTATTAGGGAATGATAGTAATGCAGTAGATGAGGTTGTGAATCTTCATCGACTGAGGTCGTTACGTTATATGATGAAGAATAAATGAACAGTAACTGACAGGCACTATTTATAGACTGTTATTTTATATATAATCTTATTGTATAATTGCTAAATAACTAGATTATACATATTTATATTCCTCTTACCATCAGCTTTTATTTGACTTATTGACTACTATCATAAGACTTACTATTCTCGAGTTATTCCCAATTTATTACTTACAGTCTCTCATAATCAAAGCTACTTTTCGCTTGATCCTGTATAATCGTTATTTTATGGTATGCTATGGTCTGGTTTACTTGTATATAAACCAAGTAAGTCGTCTTCTCATTGGTGAACAAGTCATATAATATAACTGACAGGGCGTAAGTCATAACAGGTTGAGCCACATATTACATATGTATGAATACCGATTACCACGACGCGCAATGTTGACTACTGTTGGAGAGAGATGGAAGAAAGGGGCGGCCGAATCAAAACGTGGCATCAGTGCTTGAAGTCACTAGTTTCTGGACTGAGCCATGCTGGTAGATGCAAACTACTTGGTTGAAGTCTGCGCGACTATCGCAAACAATGGTTAGAGACTATGGGTGACATGGCCCAGAATCGATCACAATGGCGTAGGTTTAGACACTTTTTGTCTTTCCTTACACCGTTAAATTAAAATTAATCACACCTTTCTTTTTACGAGAAAACTTTTTCTCCTTGTATTATATCTTCATATGTAATCTTTCTTTTATAGATTACTACCATCGAAGTAACTACTATGAATTTGGCGTTCATCTTGTTGTGAATATGAGGTATGGAAACTTGGACCGATACATATATGTGCCTAGTCTTACGCTGTAGCTGACATGTACAACATATACTCTAATAAGTTTGTGCATTCGTTTGGACGGCCATAATGCATTATAACAGAGACAAAATTTTCAAGACAAATCCCAGAGTAGCAATAGAAAAGACTAGGTAAACAAAAAAGAAAGTACAAGATTTTGAGACTCAGGTTCTAATAAATGCACTTGTGCCATAGTGAATGATTTCGAACGATGTCACCCAAAGTTTCTGACCACTGGTTGTAATAAATAACGCGAACATCAACCATGTAGTCTACACCAACTAACATGGATCAATTCAATTGTCAATTACTTCATGGACAAGTGCCATATTTTGGTTTGGTCGCCCCTACCTTTCTACCAGACTAAATCCTTCGTCGTCGAAACAGGCAGCAGTTTGGTATATGTTATAAATTTCCCAACCACCTGAGTAAATGAACGTTCTCTAGTTCATCAACTGATTTATCATTTCAGCCAAGTATCCTACTTCTAGCCTCAACATTGTTCACTTGGTCGCCAAAAAAAGAGCAACGTTTTGAAGATACCTATGAACCAATAGAAGTAACTTACGAGTATTCTTTATTCTTAATAGCCATGCTTCACACTCATAAATTAGAACAGGGCGAACTACTACACGATAAACTCACCCTTTGATTGGAAGATGGACATCTCGCCTACGGAAACAAACCCACTCCTAGTACACATGCACTGCTACTAAAAATGTTCGGAAGATAGCATTTCGCAGGCGTATTCACCAAACAGGACTATATTATGAGTAAACAAACGAATGTCACAGTAGGAGATCGACTCATGAAAAGATGGATGAGTGTTATCACTAAGAAAATTCCATGACAAAGTAAAATAAAAATGAAGGTGGGCACCCATGACGAACACTACTTGAGGTTGAAAATTCTAATGACATATGGCCATAAGCTCTAACTCGATCAGCAGTCTTCGAGCAGAAAGTTTGAACAAGGTTTATTTACTTCTCAGGCACGCGTCCCAATGACAGCTACTGAAACAGAACCTCCTGACCAACAGGGTCAACGTTCCCTCAAAGTTAAGAAATACAACCGTGATCAGACGTGTATTTGATCGATAAATCCACGTCCAGGTCTCAAATCAGCTTGATTTACTCGAGCT